TTCTTCTTCCCCCAGCCTTATATGCTGAGCACACCGTCATATGGTATGGAATATCCCTGTGGTCAGTTGGGGTCAGCTGTCCCAGCTGTGTCCCCTCCCAACTCCTTGTGCCCCCCCAGCCTGCTCGCTGGTGGGGGGGGGTGAGGAGCAGAAAAGGCCTTGACTCTGTGTAAGCACTGCTCAGCAACAGCTAAAACATCCCTGAGTTATCAACACTGTTTTCAGCACAAATCCAAAACACAGCCCCATACTAGCTACTATGAAGAAAATTAACTCTATCCCAGCCAAAACCAGCACATGCCCTCCCTTCCAGCAATGGCATAAAGCAGATGGCTAGACTAACTCTCCCTCAATTTCTCCAGTACCAAAAACCTTGCTTTGGAAAATTTCAACACAAAAGTCCAGGTCAGGCACATTCTGAGAACACCAGTTGCCTTTTCCCCCTTCCATCTGGCGGGGTGCATGTGTCCTACTGACAGAGTGTCTTAGGCAGCCAGCAAACCAGAAACTTTTGGGGGAGGACAATATGCATTCTTAGATACTGAATGATGCATGAATACTTTTAAGAATAGTATGTGGTATATCAGCAGATACATAGTTTAATGTTTAATAGATATACTGAAGAACAAAACCTGTATTTTTAATTTTTTTAAAGCTGTTAACATCTCTTGAAATTCTGTTAATAATCCCTTCAGCTTTTGATGAGTGTGATTGGAAACAGCTGTGTCTAAATTGTTTCAACATCAAATGAGAATGGTCTTGAAAATGAAAGATTTCTTTGTGTACAAATAAAAGAACAACAATTTAGCCAGATTTAGATTTTGCAATGTTTTTGTTGAGTCATTACTATCTGGTCCTGAAAAAGAGACTAATAATTATATAGCGCGATTAAGATGAATTCTAACACAGCCTTGGAAGGGAAATAGGTGTGAAGTTTGAGACCTCATCAGTATGAGATACTGAGCAAAGCAGACCTACTACCAAAGCATTAATTTCTCTGATTTTCACCACTGATAGTGGTCTCATCACACTTAACCAGGACACTATTTATGTTCTTAAAGGAATGTAGATATAACAGGGTGTGAAAATGTTGTAAACCACTGTGAGTAGTGAATAGTATGAACAATATAGCTCTTACAAACACTCCAAGGGAATTTGGAGATAGTTTACTTATACTTTAAAGAGAGAAAATAGTCCAAGGATGCAGTAAATGGTTATCATTGTCCTATACCACATTTGGGTATTTTTAAACATGCTTAATATTGGATTTTAATATCGGATTTTAATATCTAACTCAAATAGATTTCCTTTCTACTGCTAATTCAGATATGTTAGGTATTTTTGCAACATTTTTTTTTCTGTGTTGTTAAGCATCTATGCTGGCTAGGGGCATGTCATAAATCTGAGTGAAGTGTTACTCCTTCACCTGGGGGTCTTAAATGTAGAGAGTAGTGACAGTTGTATCGGTGGTGGAAGGGTAACTATGTTGTTTTAAGAACCACTCCTTTCTGGGTCAGCAAGGAGCCTGGCCAGCAATTTCAACAGAAATTGAGTACAGAATGGGCTTAATGTGCAAGAAAGCATTTCCGATACACTAAGTAAATGTCAAAATGCTAGATGTCAAAAGCCAGCTGTCAAAAGCTGGAGAAGTTAATGTCTTATTCACAAGTACATTTTAAGTGAACCCCTACTTTGTTTATCAATAGTAATGTAAGATTAGCTGGTGTGTACATGATTATCAGGACTTAGAGTGGTTTACCATTATGATATTAATTCAATTTACTTCAACAACCCTAATGTAAACAGCATGACTTAAAATCTTCCCCAGGGACAAAGATTGGATGTAGTTTGCATATTATACAACTATTTCCTGGAAGAAAAAGGAAAAAGTTGCACAAAGTTAATTTGATATGTTATTATTATCTTTGGGTATATAAAATACTGCCCAAACAGCATGTTCTCTCCTTTTCTACTTCACTTATCACAAACTTGCATAGGAATGGTAGCTGCATAAATGAATCCCGTGCTTCCCGGAAATCAGTAAACATGCCTATGTAAATATATGGATGAAATGGAAATTTTAAGAGGTCAGGTATACATGTTTGATCATTAATATACATACACACATATATACGTAAGTCTCTATGTATGTATCTTAGTAAATGTATATATACACATATATATGTATCAGTGTATATATGTGTGCGTGTATGTATACATTATATACGTATGCAAGATGCACAAATAGCAGTTCTTTTTAGAGCAAACGTATACCTAAACTTATATTTATGTATCAGAATCTGACCACTGAACATCTATGTATACATTGAGAAATACATAAGTGATTTTATTTTTCCATCTTCGTATTTTTACAAATACATATACTCTCTCTAAAACTTTAAAAATACACTATATAAACATGTCAAGGTACCAGAGTACTTTAAAGCCAAAAGCAATATGCCAGAAAGCATAAAGTTTTCAGAGAATTTTGAATGAGAAAATTTGATACAAAGTGAGTATCTTTAACTGCTTTTCAGGGGCCAGGGGAAGGAAAATTTCTGGCTCCAGAGGCTGGGTGGGATGAGACAATTACATCTTCGAAGAGCACAAACTCCACCTCGTGGTAGGTTCGATGGTGAAATTTTAGAAAACCAGCAATTCTAAAGCACAACCTCAGTAGTATGAGAGAGCTGTGAAATCTAGAAATAAAGATTTAAGGTGATACCGTTATCTTTAGGAAAGTAAGAAAAAACAGAGAAAAATGTACTATAAATGTTTCTACAACTTTTTGCTACTCATCAGTTGATGAACGCCTTTCAAGTAATAAAACCCCCTTACATTTTTATCATAGGATTGTGAACTTGTTAAAAAAATAAACTTTAAAGTAATTCACATGTACATGTAAATTGTTTTATTTGTTTAATCTTTTTTATTACCAAGGAAGACATGTAAAAAAGACATCTGAATGGATTAATTTACTCCTGCTTCCTCTTAAGCAAAGTGTATGGACCAGATAAATGTACAAGTCCCTGAAACTGCTTTGATGTACAGCAGTTTAGAAGCCATTACATAAACTTCTGTAGTGTTAGATTTAAGGGTAATTCCCACTTTAAAGTAGTATTTTTCACTAAATTAGTTCACATTTTAAAAAAAAGAAATTGTCCTTACGGTAACAATTTCTGTGATTGATCTTCCCTTAAAAAATAATTAAAGCTTATTTAAATTAATGAGGATACTATTTACTTTATTTTTCCTTTTCCACTTCTTTACTATTCACAACAGTATCCAAGTAGAACAGAAACCACATGTGCATTCAGGAAAACAAGAAAATATGAAAATATAATGCACGTTGGCAGAAAAAAAAATACCTCATGTAAGGTTCATTGCAGAACTAAAGAGTAGCCCAAAGAAAAATAACAGAAACAAAAGGATCTTAATTAACTCTGGCAAAGGATGACCCAAGCATCTAGGTTTTTAGTATGATGCTTACTGTAGCACAGAGGAGGCCCCATGGAAGAATCTGGGCATCTGCCGTACCGATAGGGACAAAGCGTTCAGCTGAATCAACTTCTAGGTCAAAACCAACTCCAGACTTCTGACTATGTTATATAAAATTTATGCAACTCTGAAACTAGGAAAAACGGATAATCCAAAGGCGAAACACGGCCAAAGGCATATTAAAATATGTTCATAAGTCAGTGAAATTAAGTAACATTTTCCTAGGTTTTCTACAAAGATCATCTGTCCCTTGTAAAGTATTCTGAAAAGTACTCAGTTTAGAAATAATTATTTATTTTATATTTATGCTAGAGCTTGTGTATATTCATAAAAAACTAAGCATATTCTCGTAAGGGGCAAACACAGACCCTGGATCAGATTCATCATGGTAAGGGTTATATTTCTTATTCACCTGGACTAAATTATCAGAAATCAAATTTCATTTAGAGGGAATGCTGGTAATTAGAATAGTCGGTTTGTCGCTTCTGCTTCGTGGACTAATTAAAAACCCAAACATTCTGCTCATCCATACCAGTAATGGGATTCATTACTCCTGCGGCTCAGTCCCCATCTGAAGAAAAGCCAGGTTGCCTGAGAAAAACATGAATATTTAGCCCATAATGATCTGTTTGCCATACCAATGTATTCCATAGTAACTCTCGTTACATCATTTTCCTGTAAGAAAAGCTTCACTAGAGCCTTAGTAAGGTATGGATGTTCAAAGAATATTGGATTAGAATCCAACTGAACCAACAGTGAGGATGTCCAGTTTTTATTGGGCTTGGTTCTGTGAGGAGAGAGTCCCATTAGCTTATGCTGATTTAGCAGGAGTGAAGGTGTTCAGCATCTCTCAGAAATGAAAGGTTTCTCCAAGTCCCAGTTTGGCAGGATGCTTACTTATATACTTACACTACTCTTAGGTACTGTTTCCAATGGAACTACTGCCATATATGAAATTAGGCACATACTTAAGTAACTTCTTCAATAATGGCCTACATGTTAACTTGAAAGTTTTATTGCTATTTTTCTAAGTCAAAACAGAAAAAGGCATATGTATTTCTAAGTAACTGAGTACCCTCTTTAAAATGTGAACTTCAATATTTTACCTAGTTTGTTAAACCAAATAATATCTTACATCAAATATTATAATTTTGCAAGAGTATCACACTGAAAGTGGTACTCTGTAGACTGAAAGAGAATAAAATTATTTAGCAAAAACCATGAAATGCCTGTATTCAACTTTTCACATAAAAAAATATATTTTGTTTTACAATACCAACAGTTAAGGCCACAGAACTCCAGCAAGATGCTGATAAGCATATCAATTGCAACTATTAAAATTACCAATAAATATCAAGAAAATGGTCTGCATGTTTAAAATCACAGCAATCAAATCAATAAAAAAAGCAACCATCAACATCTCTAGTGAGTCATAACTGTTTTCAAGTAAAAATTGCACTATGTGCTTTAAGACTGTCACATTCTTACATACTGTAACAGTGTTAGAGTAATATACAAGTAGAAGATTTCATCCTTCTGTCCTGATTAGTCACAGTTTCCCTGGAATTCTCCATTGTATGATTCTGGTTTTCATCTTTACTGTCTTCACCAGATAAATCTTCCTTTTCTTTTTCTTGTTCACTCTGTAATGGCTTTCCAGATCTATCTTCCTTTCCGCTACATACATTCTTCTGGCCTGTCAGTGGCTTTCGCTTAAACAGGGAAAACTGAAGCAAAAAACAGGTAAATAATATGCCCAAAACAGTTAGCTGTGAAATTCAAGGTTAAAAAACCACAAAGCCTTTTGATCAAGGTCAATTTAGGTTGCAAATTTCTCCTTGGTAAAACAAACCATTTCTCAAAACAAAATGACTATTTAAAAAATGTTAATGGAAAACATTCTGCTGCAATATTTGAAATGTGTCAAAATAGCACACATGAATCAGAGAAGTTAAAATGAATGCATTTTGTCAAATGACACACTGTACAGTTTGTGCAAAATACTGCAAGTGGTGCAAAATTATCTGCGTTCCTTTCAAACAAGAGTCTGAGGCAAGGTCCAAAAATAGAGGCTCAGATCTGCAAAGCCCCAGAGCAGTAAATGCTTAATACGCTTCATTATAAACATGTGTGTAGTCCCATTAAAGTTAGTGACAATGTGTTTTTACGTCAGTGAGACTACACACGTGCTTGAAGTTAATTGGTGCTTAAGGTCTTTGTTCAACAGGAAACACAGCAGCCAGCCACAGCAGCCTTTGGATCCTAAACCTGTAAGAAATTCCATATAAGGTACTCCTCAACATGCATATATATATATATAAAAAAAAAAAAAGTAAAAAACCACACTTTTTAAATCAGTGCACGTTGGAAATAGATACAAGGTCAACTAGCTCAGCTGCTGCTTTCAGAGAGAAATATGGTGGAAAATTTTTTTAGATAACGTCCCATAGGAATCAAGTCCTAAGTTTTCACCTCAGCAAAATCTGATGTGATTAACAACCTGTCTTTTATGGGCACGCTATACATGAACAGGTGATAATGGGCTTTATCTCAGTTCTACTCACAGAAGTACTATGATTTATTTTAATAGAGCAATTATTTGGACAGCTTTAAGTTATTTTATCACAAAATCAAATCAAATCTTAAACAGAAGGAACAGGTTGCTCAGCAGTTTAATTGTTTATGCAGATCAGATCAATTGCGGTATTTGCTTCAGCTTAGTAACTGCCTGCTGCCTTCCTGGTCACTGGTAAAACTGGAAGGAAAAATCAGGCCACGCACCTTTTTTCTCCCAATGATTCCTCCAGTTATTTGGTCATCAGTGTTCTCTGAAGAATTGTTCACAGTGTGATTGTCAGTGCTTTCTTTCTCTACAATAATACAAACCTTTATATTAACTTCCTTTTGATTCTTGCAAATTAAGAGCAGACAAAACTGTTATTCAAATTATTTTTGAAGTTAAAGTCACTAAATAAAATGTGGATCTTAAAAAAAAGCAATCAGAATATTCAGTTCAACTTGATGCCCAGCCTGACAAGAATGTTTTTATTTTTTTAATCTCTCTACATAATGCCCTTACTTTATTCTCCAGATGCTCGATTTTCAAGAACAGAACACTTATGGCAGTGACATTATATAAAATGTTTTGACTTGACACTCATAATTTCCTCTTGCTGACAGAAGACAATGTCTTGCACACTGATTTTGAAAGTATATTCTAATTTGGAAAAGCTGACTTTTAGGGCAGGAGTTATGGTTCAGCATGAATTTTATTCCATAGAAACAATTCTGGGAAAGGAAAAACTTTCCATCTGAGTTGATGTTCCCGGGTTTAAATTTTCCTATACTCCCTGTATGAATGATATAAATTTAGAACTTAATATCAAAACTTCCAGATCACTGGATGATGGAAAAATATTTAAGCATCCATTCTGGACAAGCTATTTCCATTATAATATTGAAAATAAATGGCATAGCTTCTTCATTATTAAGGCAGTGGTCTTTTTTATACCACATTTGTTATTTTCTTTCAGAAGAACAATTATAGATTATTCCAGAATTTCTAAAATAAAATAAATATTTTTGACTTGTCTTGCATATAGGGCACCCAACTTCATGCTCCCCAGCTTTTCTAAAGGAATATATGGTTCGCTCAAACTGTCAGCAAAACTACAAGCAACAACTAGATTTACATCTTCAGCATCTCTAAACAATGTTCAGTAATTACCACATTTCACCTAAAATAATCTGTTTGTGAACATGAGGAAATGTCAGTTGACAGAGAAAGACTTTTCACAAGCTTCTCTGTTGAAGTGAAGAAACACGGCACTTAAAGAAGTTGCTTGAGAGATAATACAATTACCATTACTTTGTCACCGCACAACTAGAACTGCTCTTAGCAAGTAAGATACAGTCCTGTTAAGAGAAAGTCCTTCACGTGGACCTCCTCCAATACATAACTGGAAAAAGTATTTTTTTCTTCTGAATCATTAACAATTAGTAATGGTTTTTTGCCTCTCAAATTTCATCACCTCTCAAGAACTGCTTTACCTACTACTGACAATAACTGTATTGTTCAGTATTTTTGTAATAGAGATTGTTTAGAAAAGTTTTATCTTTTGAATTTTTTTTTTTTTTGGAATGTCCATACTGGTCCAGTTCTTAGGAATTGCATTCTTACCCTGCTGAATGATGGTCTCTTTCTGAGTAGTCTCTTCTGTCTATAGAGAGACAAAATAATGAAATCTCTACGTTCAAATTTGTTAAAAAAAATTTTTTTAAACTATTAACACCTACATATTTGTTCCTCCCCTCTACCAAAGCCACCCCAAACAACAACTTTGCATTTCCAAGATAAGAACACATATATTCAAACTAATATAAGTTATAGAACCAAATTCTTTCAGAGGCCAATAACTTAATAGGAGTAAATGCTTTTACCTCTACAGTTTCCACTGTGCTATTACTGCTTTTCTCTCCCTCAGGTGTTTTACTATGTTTCTCTTTTTCATATTTTTCCTCTATTTCCTCTTCTTTTTCTGTTCCTTCCTCTCCTTCTGCTTCTTCTTCTCCTTCTGCTTCTTCTTCTCCTTCTGCTTCTTCTTTTTCTTCTTCTGCTTCTTCTTCTTCTTCTGTTTCTTCTTCATCATCATCATCTGTCTCTTCATCTCCAGACAAGTTTTGTTCCTTTGACAAAATGGCCAAAACATAATTTTGAAATTCATGCTGCACAATGCTATCATGGTCTTCATCCTACACCAGTTCATCGTACATCATAATTTGACTCAGAACAAGAAAACTCAAAAGAAAATGTTCCAAGGAGTAGATAGAGTAAGGACAAAGACAGGAGCCCTCATTTGGGGTTTGCTAATTTTAATAGATTTTTAAAAAACAGACCTCCAGTGAACATTAGGAGTACAGCTGACTTTTATGTCTTGCTAATGTGTCTCCTTAATGGAAAAGCAATGAAAACAAACTTTTTTTTTGAAACAAAATACTTATTTTAAAAGTTTGAAATATGCATAAGTAATACAAGCAGTAGTTATTCCAAAACTGAAAAAAATCATTAAAATCTATTTCCCAAGAAAATTAATAAAACAATACCAGATACAATGTTCTTATTCATCTGATTCAATATAGACACTATAATTTGAATTTAAGTTGGTTTCAGCCTAGGATAAAACTTCAATATAGTAAAATAAATTTTTAAAAGTGCAAATGCTATTTTTGTAAAAATGTGTAGAAAAAAGAACCAATTATATCCTTATTACTCCATTCAATCAGATTGCCATTACTATGCCATTTATGTATTTATGAAGTACAGTATTTTAAACAGAAACATTCTCCCTCCCATTGCAGAAATACAAGGGCCTAAACCAAGTCCAAGATGGACTTCTGATGTCAAATCAAGTGAACCCTTATCATTGCATCAGAGTGCCCAGACGTACTATTACATGTTTGCAGTCTGATGCTTTTCTTCTATGATTGATTGAAATATAGGTACTGAACCGGTATTTTATGTTAAAGAAACCTAACAACAAAACACTTCTGTTCCACTGCAGCCTAGGTCATGATGGGAACTGGTGTGAACAATCTGCATGCTCTTTTGAAAGTGTGCTAGAGGAATGGGTCTTTTTCTGAACACCTTCGTATAGCAGGTCCAAATGCTTTCTCCTATCTTTCGTCAATGTTTTCCTTACTCCCTCTTACTTTTTTAAATTTTTGTTTGTTGTCTCCACAATGACTGTTTTTATGCTCATCAGAAGGTAACTTGCTAGTCAGGAGGCGACCATTAGCTAATGTTTCTAGAGGTTGGAACACAAGGCTGCTTAGCCAAGAATGTTAGAGGTATGCAAAAGCTTAACAGGTTAGTTGTTTCCTGGCCTGTTCTCTTCTGGGTGAGTTAACTCTGTAGCAAAGTATTTTCGGACCTTACTTAGAAGCTTTCCGCCACTTTAAGCACAACAGCACACCTGTAATTAAGAATCACAATGATACCACAGACATTCAGCTTGTACCACTTACATTGTTCTCTTTTGCCCCATTGTCCACAGGCTTGTCTGTGGTGCCCTTCGCAGCTTTAAAGACCAAATTTTTAAACTTAGGATAAAAAGCCTCACTGTGCATACCAGCATGTGCAGCAGAGTTAGTGGGAGTTCTCCACAGCGTCTAGTATCTGCGCAGCACGCACCACGTTCTGAGAACTGCTGTGAAACAGGCTGGCAGCAAAGATGAATCCAGCATGGAGTTCAGGCTACACATTAACCACACGCTGATGCTACAGAGAGCACCTGGGAAACTGAAGGTACCCTGGTAGTACGTTATATTGCCAGCTACGTATTCCAGCTCTAGAAATGTTAGGAATGAAATAAAAGCAGAAATCGCCACATGCCATTGGCAGAAAGTCCCTTTTGTAGCATAGCACAATGGTGACCCAAACAACCAGCATTTTGCAACGGATGAACACTTCAGCTCACACGACTGGAGAAAAGACCTTCTCCTAACAGGTATCTCCCAGGTATCTTCCTTAACTGAGGCTTCTTCCAATCACCTTTCCAGTCTGAGAATTTCACTGCAAACAGTGAAAAAGGCAATCTGCTTTCAACTCTAACAAAAGAAAACTAAGTGCAGAATATTTCAGTGAGACCATTTCTTCTCACACAGCAAGTAGACTGAGCAGCAGTGCCGACACACACAATACCGTAGAGCACACCGTTCCATATTACCAGCCGGTCGTGTGCCCTGGCACACTATTGTGCAGGTTCCCGGCAGCAGTGCAAAAGATTCCCTGTGGTGATCCCACTGTCACGTCCTGGGGGCTCCGCACAATGGAAAGTCATTCTGAGAACAAGCACAACCACTGTAAGAATCTTGTCTCCTGGCATTTCGAACAAGTAAACAGGTAGGAGGAAAATGACAGCAGGTTTCAGAAGGGTGTGATCTTTTTTTGAAATGTTCTTGATTTTTTTTTGTTTTACTGGGAAGATTGATTATGAAGCTAAACATGACAAACTCTTTACAAACTTGACTCTTCTATAATATATTCCAGCATCTATGATGGAAAGCAAAAGCTAATAATTCTTCCACCTTTCTAGGAGCTGAGAAAAGGTTGCTTCTTACATACCAGTATATCTGAGGAATAATGCACAATAAAAACGGAAAATGTTTTCATCTAAACTCCTTTGGAAGTGGTGTTATTTATCATTGGTATAGTTTACCTGTAGACTTGAATGGTACCACTATGGGTACACTGCAACAGTCAGTACAGAAGTGTTTAGAGGTAACACATGCACAGGATTTTGTCTTTGTAAAAAATGTAAAAAAGAACTCCACTTGATAAAATACTGACATTCAGTCTTCCAGAGGAGTATCAGATTGACATGGAATTACTTAGACATCTGTGAGAAAGCCAGAATTTTCTATTTTTGGTCCCTTCAAAACTGAAACAGTCTTCACAAATATTTAGCATAGTTATGGCCTATGGAAGGGATTCAACCTAGCCATTTCACACTGGAAGAAATGTAAGATTAGTAGGGCATGTATGCACGCTGTAACATGCATCTACAAAACACAGCAAAATGTGTAACGACAGCTAATTGTAAAAAGAAGATTTTAGTCCAGCTTTGAACTACTGAAGATGTTTATCCCACTTCATAAGCACATGGAAGTATCTCTAGCTCTGCTAATATGGAGATACTGGTCAAGCAGTTAGCAACAAAAATACTGATGTTCCATATAGTGTGGGCAATAAAAGTAGTTAGGATTCAAGTTCTGAGGGAGGAACTTCTCCTAATCACATAGTAAAGAGTCATGACATATTCACATGAAAATCAGTCCCAAAGTCAAACTGATATGAACTTCTGCTTACAGTGAACTTACGTATCAGGTTTGGATCCTATCATAAAGGCAAT